GTATTCGTTGCCACAAGTACCACCTGCAGCAAGTCCCTGGCCGGGGTAGAGGGGTGAAAGACCGCAGGGGTTGGTCTTTTGGAGGCGATGCTGCCCTAGATTAAACCCCGCCCTACAACACCTGACGTTGATGCGTAATGGTCACAGTGGCGCTGAGTAATCGCACAAGTCGCAGCAGCGCCTGCCTGATGTGCAGCTGCCAGTCCGTGATGAGTTGGCTGTTTGCAGGAATAATCTGCCATGCCCATGACTTCGTAGGACTGCACCGCAGCTTCAAGGCTGCCTTGATGACATGTAGTGGTAAAATCTGAATCTGAGGTCAATAGAAACTGAATACGTTGCTTCACAGTGGCTGGAGCCTGTTGCGCTGCATGCGCTTGCTCGTGTGCGGATGTGTGCTCTACCTCTTGCTGGTTCCGCCCTCTGCATCGGCACCTGAATGGCACCTGCGACCCTTCCTGTACCGGGACGATACCTGTCCAACTAGTCAGCTACAATACACTCACCGCATCATGTGCTGTTTTGATATACGGTGGAGCGACAGTTGCTTGATCATCGGCAGTGTGCGCGCTGATCTAGCCGAGCTCACATAGGATCACAGAATCTAAGCACCCACGCGTTCTAAAGTTTTTGATCTCAGTTGGTTACCTCAGGTGGTTACACGTCGGGGTTGATAGCTGTCAAAGCGCAAGCGCAGCAGCAAGTGCGCACGCGGCGCAGGGGCGATCCTCCCCAGGCTAGCGCCTGTGTGAAGTCGATCCAGTACAATTATCAAAAAGTAGCTGGCATACATTTCGCTCGGCCACGGGAGTGGCGTTGCCGCCAGGCAGCCCCTGTGCCCTGAGCCCGCGGCACTCGCTGCTGGGCGTGGCGCACTGCCGTGATGCGCAAACGCGACATTGCCATCGTGTTGCTCTCCTGCTTTGGCCTCTTCTTGTCCCTGGAGAACGAGGGCTCTATATCCTTCCGCAAAGCATGGTGAGTGGCGCTGCGCCCGCCAAGCCTCGCCCATCTAGCAGCCACGGCTTGTGCACCAGGCACCCGGGTGCAGGGCCCTCTCGTCTCCCTCCTGCTAGCCGGCACAGCACGCGCGCGCACACACTTCACACACACACACACACACACACACACACACACACACACACACACATGCTCAAGCTTCCAGCCGCATCACACATCACTCCCACCCCTCTGCCCAACCAACACGTCTTGCTGGTGATTCCGCGTTGCGGCCAGGCTCCACCCGATCAGCCACGAGGGCGGGAAGCTGGCGGAGTTTGATGCGCAAGACAGCCTGCCAGCGCCTGTGGTGGTGAGAGGGGGGGACCGCGGCCGCGGAGCGGAGCGGTGCTAGCAGGCTGGTGCGACAGCAGTCTGTTTCGACAAGCCCGTGTCAGGGAGGGGGCCGCAGGAGTGGTGGACCCTCGTGCTGGGGCTGGGTGGCTTTGCATCCACCCCTGATTGGCGCGTGTTGGATCACTAGCCGTACCAAAAACGTGGCGGCCGACGCGCGGGATGAGCAGATGCTGTTCTCAAGTCTTTAGCTGACTGATGCAGCGCCCACTGAGCGGCGCAACTCAGCGGCCTCGGCACGGTTCTCCGCAAATAGTGAATGCGCCTCACCATTTACGCCTGCGCCCGGCCCCTCCTCCATGCAACCCCCGGCAACAAGGTTGATTTGAATGGTGACGGTGATCTGGAGGTGGCGGTGGTGACGCATGACTACAACCTGCAGGTGGATGCACCTGGTTGTGTTCGCGCTTGCATGTGTGTGTTGGGTGGGTGGGTCTTTTGAACTGTGTAGTGGGTGGGTCGTGTGCTGGGGTGTGTGTGCTGGTGATGTGCGTCCGTGATTAGGCATACCAGGCGTGTGCACGGATGCACGTATTTTGTGTGCGCGTGTGTGTGTGTGTGTGTGTGTGTGTGTGTGTGTGTGTGTGTGTGTGTGTGTGGCCGCACAGGTCTACACCCCTGAATCCTGTCCACCGACCCGCCCTCCTCCCCACCACCACCCCCGCTCCCCTCATCCCACCTCCGTTGCAGCTGCTGAAGCCCCAGCCCCCCGGGCGCGCGGGCGAGGGCTTTGCGGAGGCGGCGGTGCTGGCCCAGGTGTCGCTGCTGCCGGCCAAGGTCACCCTCGGTCTGGACAGGCACCCGGTGGGCGGGGACGGGGCGCTGCAGGGCCTATGGCTGGCACGCAAGTGCGGCTTGACGATGGTGCCATGCCGTTTGTTCTGTATGCAGTTGTGTGGAGGAGCCGTTAGTGCGCTCACGCGCCGCAGCGGTTGCCCTGTGCGAATGCAAAGCCTCTACACACTGCCACAGGGGTCCCTTGTCACCTCATTCATTGGCAAATCCCTGACCCTGAAACAACCACCACATGGAATCCGAC